GATAGGATAGGATAGGATAGGATAGGATAGGATAGGATAGGATAGGGTAGGAGAATAGAATAGGAACAGAACAGAACAGAACAGAACAGAACAGATATATATATTTATATATTTATTTTATTTTATTTTATTTTAATTTAATAAAATAAAATAAAATAAAAATGAACACACACCCACACCCAGAGGTAAACATATTATTTTTCTCTCTGATGTTTAATAGGATTGGAGTACGGTAGTTAGTTTTTACAAATAGATTAACTCTTTTTTCTCCCAGATTTTCCTTCTCATTTTGCACAAGTCTTTGTTAGAAAAAAAAAAATAGCCACATATATTGTTCACTAACAATGGCTTTTGCAATAAGTGCTGAAATAGGTATGATATAGATCAAGAGGGAAAACGTATGTGGGAAAAAAGAGATCTGGAATATCAGCATCATCTAGTAATATGGGGATATTTTTAGTCAAATGCCTGAAGTGGTATAATCCTTTTGGGTAAAATATGTATTTTATTTGTTATAAAGCATCAATGAGCCCTTAGTTTCATATGCAGCATCCCAACACCAGAATCCAACTCTTCATTTCCTTGCTTAGCAAATAATTCTCTACTGTTCCGAATTCGTAGACAAGCATACCAGCCGTGAATTTCTTTTCATGTCCTTTAATTGAGTATTTAATTTATCCAGTTCTGTTTGATGCACTTCCAAATATTCACTGTAAAGAGAATCCAAAGTTGAAACATCAGCAATGTTATATTCCCATATTTTAAACTACCACAAATAAATGAATGAATGAATGAATGAACGAATGAATGAATAAATAAATAAGGTTTTTTAAAATGAAGCATTATTTCTTTATAGAGTAAATATTTGGCTGACAGTTTTACTTATAAATAGAGTATACCTGTGGAAGGGAAGACAGAAAAGTCAACTTTTTCAGATGTGATTTATAAAATATGAGTAAAAAATTACTGATATAAAATTTTCCCAGAACTGGCATGATTGTAATCTACTGTAAGTCATTTTGAAAAGCAGGCAGCTTAAGCCCTTCATATTTCTATTCTTATCTGAATAGAATAAGAACACCCAACATATACTGTATATAAATGTAAGAGGCAGAAATCTTTTTAAATTATATCAGTTTCATTATTAAAAAAAAAAAAGAAAACATAGTAATTTAACTACAGATGCCTTTTAACATACAATTAATGCTGTAATTTATTAATCTGATTTTATGTTCACCGTGTCCTCAGAGGTCCAGAAAAAGTTGCAATAATCTCTAGCATCAAAATCACACTTCAGTTTGCTTAACATATCACCCATAACAGGTTTTAGTTTTAGCACGTCACAGTAATTGCAGCAAATATGGAAAAAGAAAATAATACTGGAAAAAGGTACTTTTATAAAAATCAGTTAAAAGTTACCAGATCACAATGCACATGCCAACTCTTTTTAGTTTTCAGTCAACTGAGAAAGCCCTGCATAAACATTATGTTTACCCAGTCCCTAAAGTAAGCTGACCAACAGTTAATTAATGTGATTGAACTGAACTACGCTTAAAGCATGCATAATTCAACTTGTTATAAATATGCCACTATTAAAAGCAGAATTTCCTCATATCGCTACAAACCAAGCTAAATGCAAGACAGTAATGGCATACCAAAAGTCCAATTTAGCCCACAGAGTTAAACACACAATCATTTCGACATGAGCTGAAATAACAAAAGGTGGAAACTCTTGCAGCTATTATGCACTAAAACAGAAGGATAAAAGGCATCTGTTGGACTGAAACTATCCAGATGACTAAACACCTGTGGATTGTGCAAATCAATCCTTAGCTATAAGAAAACTAGGTACTTTTGATGGTTGGAAGCTGATAAGCCATCTTTGACATCAGTAGTTAAACTCTTGTTTATCACACAGAAATCACTTTTTTTCTTCTGTAATGAGCAGTACAACCAGCAGTAATAAAAGCTCTTACTCCAGTCCATTCTTTAAGGCCTTGTAAACTTCCTCCATTCTTTCAGGCTGAGGTTCCTTAGCGGAGCTGCTACTTTTGTGCCCCAAATGGTGTGCTTTCTTCACTTTGGCTTGGGGTTTCTTGAGTGCAGGGGAATTCTCAATAAAGGAATTACATCTACAAAATGAAAATGAAAAGAGAGTTGGCTATGGAATAAATACATTAAATGCTGAATATTTTAATATTGTCTACACAGCATTTATTAATATTTCCAGGCTAAAAACTTAATGTCGCCTGCCAGAGAAGTGAAAAGTGATGCATTAACCTGTTAAGCCCTCATAGCAACTGGCTAGTCAGCATCTGATATTCAGCTTGTTAACAAGACCAGTGCTTTTATCATTCAATTTCATTCATTTATTTAAATCTGCACTATGACCCACTGCAAAGATTTAGTGGAAGTAACAACAAATTAAAATACACTATACATATTCAATAAAATAAAGAAGCTTGATAAACAGCTATTATTTGCTTGGTCACTTATAACATTAATTGGTGTTTACTAGCACCATGGGTCTTGGTAGCCATTAACAGTTTTAATTAATTTTCAAGCAAAATGTTTGTATTATAAAACAAAAACATGATCGCAGTGAGCTAAGCAACTTCTGTCATTTGAATTAAACTTGTGCAGGGAAATACCCTGGCAGCTTGAGCCAACATCAAGCGTAATCCTCACTGCAAAATGCACCCTAAATAAAGAAAACAAATATTTACAATCCTGCCTTCAAAAACAGCAAAAGAGTTGTAGTATAAACTGGAGGATCACTTATATTAAAAGAGCACTGTATATGAAACACAGAATTAGAGGTAAACCCTTTCTCAAAAGAAAGACAATAAAGACACACACATATCCTTCAAAAGTCAGGGCCAGCTGTGGCTTTGAAAAATTTCTAGGCAGACACTCTTGCAAGTGGTGGGCTGTAGCAGGCTACACCATGTTTCTGGATCTAGACATCATAATATATTTCCCTAATGCACATACATCATTGTTCAGAGCACTGTGGGAGATCTAATATGCTCAGTATTAAATTGAGAGTTAAGTTTAATATGGAGACTTATTCATATTAATGTACTTACCATCCCACCCTTGTGAAACATTGCTGTAAATGGTCATCAGGACCTACTGTCTGATTAGCCATAAAAAGAATCAAAATTTTTAATAAATCAAATGGTTTGATTCAGCTTTAAGATTTTATCTTTTATCTGAGTATGGGGGATGGGGAAGAAGCTGTTTCATTTTCATCCCTCCTTTTCATTCCATACCATGGAGCTGATGGAAACTTGTTGGAGTAAAAGAGGAGATCAGGTCAAGTAGATAACCTTTGATGAAGCTTGTTTTCTAGTTGCTTAAATGGCTGTTTTGATCACAGATTGTTAGATTTATAACAGAGGCACAGATAATCCTGAAATAAGAACAGATCTCCAGACCTAAAGAGGTTGAGTATATGTGGCTTTTTCTTCAGTTTATAGCTTAGCTTTGGAGATGGTACTTGCCTGGATCTTCTTTCTTGAAGACCACTGAAACCAGCAAAGGACTGACTTCTAATAATCCCATTAGGGCCTCCTGGGGAGAATGAATGCGATCCTACTGACATGATTTCTGGGAATCTTAAAGATATTTCTGGAAGATAAAACAGTAAGAATGTCAGCCACAATGGTAAGGTACAAGCAGCTTTAAATCAAGTCCTAACAACCTCTAATAAAAAGAGAAATTATATAATATTAATGCAATTTAATAATGTTAGGACTTGATATTCAAGCCTCTGAATGTTGGCAATACAGGACAGTATATCTATACTAGTCCAATTCAGCCTGGAGCCTAAAATATATATTTGCATTAGTAGGTGAAAATATATCATTTTATTTCTGTGGATTATCAAGTTCAGTTGTTCAATTGTATTTTATATTATTGGTCAATAGCATATCCAGTACCATGCTGGATAGAATCAAAGCTAAGTCCCTACACTATTTAAGAAACAAAAAACTAGAAATGCAAACTTGGCAGATTATGTTGCTTAAGAATCTTTACATCCATTCAAAGTAGAGAAAACCACAGGAAACAAGATTAGGGCAGAACATTTGCTAGGTGCTAAATAGAGAACCATATGGAAATATGCAACAGGAATTCTTGTTTATAGGTATTAAGAAAGCAGAATCCTTTTCTTTTTTTAGAAACTCAGAACTATGACATTAAAATTAAACTGTGACTTACAGCAATTATCTACATGCTTACTTAGAAGAAATAATATGATTTACTACCTGGTCAGCATGTATAGGACTGCAACATTGGTAAACTATAAAACATTTTAACTTCTTGAAGATCCTGAGAAAAGAACCTAAACATATAGTTGCTGAGAAAAAAAAAATCTTGAGAGAACTTACAGAACTTAAAAGAACATTATGGAATTCCTAAACAACAATTGATAACTAACCCCTATTTGACACCAAATTTATATTAATCTCTTGAACAAAATTAGACAAAAACTCTTTCCATGCAATATATCTAGCAAACAGAGATTTTGAAAGAAAAAGCAAACCACTCCTGAATCCCGGAAAGAGGACACGGGCATCTCCAGGGAATGATCAAAAAAGTTAAGATGGCAGAAGCAACCATGCAATCAAAGTCCAGCCTTTTTCATGTGTATCACCTGTATGTACAAAGGGGCACAGCTTTGGTTATGCCTGCTATCTTGACTTTTTGATGCCCCCAATACGGGGCATTCTAATGATCCCTATATTAACAGTTGTTGCTAATGAGCAGGCATCTAAGTACTAACTGGCTCTGCCAGAGTAGATGATGATAGTATTTTAATTATAGGGGGAAATGATAAACACCTTTATGATGATACTGCTGCCCTTGGGTTCCTCAAAACATGATCTAGAGGGCTATGTATTTGTCAGAGCAACATGAACAAGAGGAACTTACACAGATCACTTCTCCATCTCTTTCTGCAAGGGGGGGGGGCAAGGAGAATCCTTCCACTAAAAGTACAGATGTAATGGGATTTTGTAGTTAGAAAATAAAATAAAATCTTGAAATACTTAATTTATAACTGTCACTGAATACCTATTTTCTTGGTGCAAATGTAGATTGTTTTGGGCATAAAGAATAGAACTGGGACCTTATAGAGCAGTGTTTCTCAACCTTGGCAACTTTAAGATGTGTGGACTCCAACTCCCAGAATTCCCCAGCCAGCATGGGGAATTCTGGGAATTGAAGTCCACACATCTTAAAGTTGCCAAGGTTTAAAAACACTGTTACAGAGGCTACATTGCTTGTATCATTCAAGAGCATATTCATTTAGAGATGTAAGAATACAGAATCTTAAAAGAGTCTGTAAAAACCATTGCTTCTTAGTATTCCAAGATACTTTGGTTGTACTCCTAAAATATACTCCTGAAAGTTGCCCTGAATTCAAAGGAACTTTAAAGAAATCAAGTTTACGTTAAACTTTATTACTGGTCTGGCCGCTCAAAAATTCCAATGCAACTTTTAAGACAGAAGTAGCATTTTAAAATGAATTGTATAAGATTATCTCCCAAAGATGTTCATAGGACAGCTGACACAAATCTGGATTTTTCTGGGGTTGTCAAACTTACTTTCTACTATTTGTGTACCAACTGTAAATCCATTCATCGTTTTATAATCCAAATTTTCAATCTACCTTTGACCTTAAAATAGACCAAGATTGGGTAACTTCTAGAACTATCCTACTTATAACACTTATGCATTCCCACCCCTGCTCATCTTGAACTCCCAATAGTTTCTGAATAGAAATCTAGTTAGGGCCACAATGTGCCACATTAACAGTTACTAAGCTGTTGCCTGGCTTATATGAGAAGAATTCTCTCAACCAATTACTGTAAATGGACCTGTTAAGAAAGAAACAGCTTAGAAACATTGTCAGGCTTATAGAAGTTCAGCGGCAAAAACATTCTACAGCACATAAAACAGCAGAAGGATAATCAGGAAAGGCTGTTAGTCATGAAGAGCTAATTTGCATATGATGAGCTGCTTCACAGTCAAAAGCCTCTTCCTGTCAAAATAAAACAAAACAATGCCAACATAATGCGTACCATCATGTTCTTGTTAAAGTACGTAAGGGACAAGAGGCTCATAGTTGTTCTAAAATGGATGTCTGCCAAACTGGAGATGTTTGCAAGGTAATTAGTAAAAAATCAGGAGAATAATTTATGTACAGGAAAAGAAAGCGACTTAATAAAAATAAAAATAATTTTAAAAAATAATTTATGTAAACTGCAACAGGAAAAACAAAGAAAGGAAAAAGGGAAAGAAATAGAATACATACATATAAATGCATATATAGCAGTGTAATCCCTAACTCATCTATGTCCTTATTGATCATTTTTAAAAAATTAATATTATTATTGTTGTTACATGAGTTTTACACTGAATTTTTTTTTTATTTTTATTTTTCCTTAGTCATTATATTAAATCTCATCTTTTGAATTCTCAGGACTTAAATTCTTGGTAATCCGATAAGTTAAAGGAGTCATTTCATACAGAAGGGATTTGCCCTTGAAAAGAAACCTCCAGTAATTTTTCAAGTTTTAGGATTCTCCTGAACAGAGTTTGAGCATAATTGGTCTAGAAATTGGCACCACTTGGCATGCTACTTCATCAAAATGGCTCATTTTCTAACTGAAAGTGGATATGAATGATCCTATCTGCAAAATGCCTGGCAAAAAGGTCATGGTGGCTAGTAGATAACTCTTCTGAGACACTGGTTCCCAACAGGACTGTTGATGGCATTCCATGTGTGGACAAGTCCTGGTACTTCACCCTTACCATTACTGGTGTAGCCTCTAAACTGATCCATGTCTGGTCGGTTGTACTTGTTCATTTTTGCTAGCATCATTCCAGGTGGCTCTTCTGGAATTTCATTTCTCAGAAACTCCTCAGTAAACCAAGGAGCATCCCAGGATCAGCACACAGAGAGAAGCCATACAGGGACAACCCAATCTAGTATCTTTGTCACCTCTATATCCCAGAGATTGATTAGGCAACCTGCCAGATTGCTGAGAAACTCACAAAGAACCCAAGTGGAAATTAGATCCATAAGATGCTTAGTGTGGACCATCTCCCACAGAGATTGGTGTTGCCAATAAGCCTTGATCTGACCATGATCAAGGTCTGACATTAATGTTCTGTACCTTCATATCACATTTGCACTGCTCCAAAGTGAAAAACAGATCAAGTCTATAATCCCTGGTATGTGTCAGGCCCATGCTGACTTGGAGTAAATCCACGGTAATCATGGAGACCATGAAATCCCAAACCACTCCTGACCCTAAATCCAAGGCATGGAGGTTGACCTTTCCCAGCAGGGAGGATCATTCACCAACAGTATCCCTAGCCTTATATGGAGATTACAGTAATCAAATTGAGCATAAATGACCAAAATCAGGGACAATTCCTTTCAAAAAAATAGCAGATGACAAATACATTTAAAAAAAAAAAATTCTGTCCATCATTATGCAGGAGCAGCAATGATGCATCTTTGAACTCCTTTTGGAGTCATTTCACAGAGATTACAGCTTTGCCCAGATCACGCTGTATGTCAACTTCCACACTGCCTTCAAGTGATCAACCAGAACATCTACTAAAACCAGCTCTACAAGAGCAGGAGCATTCACAGAGGGGTATAACACTATACCTTATATGGTCATAAGTATAGCACTTCTATACTTTACATGATCATAAGTACAGCACTAATTCAGTACAAAAATCATAAATATCAGGAAAGAGTTGATGACTACAATTAATTAATAGTGCCATTTTTCATCTACAGAGGATATTCCAATATATATGGCTGTTTCTTTTTTCTCTTCTGATGCATTTTTATGGCTGTAGTTGATCCCATTTTGGTGTGACTATCAACATCCCTAAAATAGTCACATACATTCATTCTTAATTCTTTGCTATTTCTACACTAGTGCTTCTATTTAATGGAAAGTCTGAATAAAACATTTGTTTGATTATATTTCTTCCCTTGGAGGGTTTGAATGTAATCAATTGAAGAGGCTCAAATGCCGATGTGTATATTCTGTTGATTACAGGCTAATTAGCAGAATTACAACTGTAAAAGTCAGAGCAATAAAATCCTTATGAAAGATTTGAAGAACTGAAAATATTATATACACTTAAATTCACATACTAGAAATGAATATTCTTTTACAGAACTATGATAAACAATTCCATAAAAGTGCAACTGAATGACATTATATATGCTTCAAGAGGAGGAGGAGGAGGAGGAGGACATTGGTGGTCCAAAATTACAGATGTTGAATTCCATTAGGAACAATAGATCAAAATACTATTTTAACATACAGACACACACACACACACACACACACACCCTTACATTTGCTGAAGGCATGAATCCCTTCAAGAATTTTTTATACTAAATCTATTTTCTTGAAAGAAAAGCCACATAATTGTGTCATAGACATATATTCTTATGTAAGTTACTGCATCAGTGTTCTTTTCGATAAATCTTTAAGTAGTAGTAGAACAGGTCTCAGAGAAGGTCTTCTTTTGAACTTTTCCACTACAGCTTTTATGTGTCAGGAATGTTCTCAATGTGACTTCACAGAAAC